GCTCTCGATCCCCTCCACCCCCCCACCCAGGTAGGGAAGGAGAGAGAGAAAAGGAGAGAGACTTGGCTGGATTGAAGACTAACCTACACAGCTTTAATTAAAACACTAATGAATGATACAAGAAGATATATACAATTATATACAGATATATTCAGGTATGGGCAAAATCCTCTTGCCTCCCCCCACCCCAGCAACTCCCACAGCACTTCCCTGAACTGGGAAGAGTCCCGAGGAATCCCGGAGCTGCTGCTGGAGAGAGCAGAGAGTGATGGGGGTCAGGAGATCTCAAGCCTGAGGGTCGACCGTGATGGATGAACAGAGTCCTCCCCGGACGCCGGCCATGGATGGAAGAGAAGGGAAGAAGAAAAAGGAAGGAAGTTGTCTTCTGTGATCTCTGACCTTCCTTTGAGCTTACGTAGATATATGGAATGGAATATCTTTGGCCAATTTTGCTGTCCATCTAACTCAGCCTCCTACGGGGGGGGGGGTCACAGATCTCCCCATAGTGTCTGAGCCGGCAGAGTGCAGGTGCAACCTTGAAGCCTCAGTAGTTAGAAAAACATTCCTCTGTCTTATCAGCCTAGCAGAACACACTGTTGCTAGCTAAAAGAAAGCTTACTGAAGGAAAAAAAAAAATCAGTAAAAAGAAAAATTGGCTTCATCCTGGCTCAAACCAGGACAGAGGGTCCCAGAAGACAATGATGTTTTGTCCTTGTGTTTGGAGTGGAAAAGAAACAGGATAATCAGGAGCTAAGAATGGAGCAATGAAAGATGGGAGCTAGAAGTCAACAAAAAGACAGTGGGGAGGTGAGAGGGAGAATTGAGGCATTAGGTGGGGAATAAGCACTCAAGTCCAATAAAGAAGCTATAGCACTTTTTGCATAGAGCACCAAAACCCCAAATAATCTTGGACATGGCTACAGAAATAGTTGCTTTTATTCTACTGGATGATCTTTCCGTCACAACCTGTAGTCATAGTGCTGTAGTGAATTATTTAGAGCAAAAATTATCAAAGAATGTACTTGGAAACCTTCAGCAACTTTAGTGCCCAAGTTTGAGTGATCTATCTGAGGAACTAGCATGTTAGATTATCACTACATTACAGGAAACAACTAGCAAATTATATATTAATGGATGTATATTTCAAAATCCATCACTTGATGATAGCACAAAAAACCACTTTCTGCCACCAAATTCTTCAGGTTGGCTTTCCCAGTCAAGACATCCCCAGCTGTAATTTATTTTTTTCACCTTAAGGGTTTTCACTTCTTCCACATTAGCAGCAGGCAATTTTTTACAAGCTGATAGACTGGATTCTTCAACATGCTCTTTGCTTTTGATGCCAAGGTGACAGTGCAAAGTACAAGAAGCTGTGCACTTCTGGAGGTGGAGTAACAATTTAAAACCAGTGAGTCTCCTTGTCATTTCCTTGTCCTCTGCTTTTCAGAGGCTATCTAAGGCTTTGGAATGCTACGTCTGGCCCAAGGCACACTGTGGCCTGCAGGCAGTACCTTTGGGAATAGCCAGTTGGCACATATTAGACTAATTGTGTAGAACATAAATTGGAATCTGGGAAGGGCCATTAATTTGTCTTTCTTTCACAGTTTTGTTTCAGTTTATGGGGGCAAATTTTGAAACCTACACTGTGCTTAAGTCAGAATAATGAACCTCCTGTGCAATTCCATGGATTGCCTCTTGCAGTTGGGCTGTAGAGAAGGAATAAAAATGTTCTGAGAAAACTGTTTATCTACTACCAAGAAATTGGCATAGAAATGTTTCTGATCAACGAGTCTGTTTTTAATAGAAATTATGAAAAATATGGTTGCTCTTGCTTGTTTTTTGAAAATCCTATAAAGTTCTCTCTCTATGTACTGACAGCAGCGTGACAGAAATTCACAGTACTCCTACATTCCTCCCCCACTGCAATTAATTATACAATTTCTTTCCACCCTTGCAACATCTGTTCTTTCCTGTGCTTAGCTAGCTAGGGATACAAAAAATCACGCCAGCACAAGTCTCAATCTGGTCTGTCATATTCACAGAGTTTTAAGTCTTGAACATATACAAAAATGGATTCGCTTATGTCAAAATAGCAGTAGTCTGCCACAGTCCAGGCTGTTAGTTTAAACATCATTATTGAGAAGCAGCCACAACTACTGTTGTGCTTAGTGACAACCATAGTTCTGGGGAAAATATAAGAACCATGTTTGTAGGCTGCTGTGGGATAGAAAAGGGAGGTTGCTGGGTTGTCGTAACTGGAATTGCTGTTTGAGTTCTGATTTCTAATAGTTTCTATGTTGATCCAACCATTTTGGCTTTTACAGCTTGCATTCAGAAGGGTTGTATGTTAGCAGCGGGTATGTTATGTTTGCTTTTGTTTTTGTCTTACAATGCTTTAAATATTGTAGAAATTAGTTTCCCTTTGCTTAGCTGGAGTCTTAAAATAGTCTTAGAGCAGTAAATAGTGTATACTTTATCACTATGAGGATGTATATTAGATAATCAGATTGGAGAAAACAATTACTTTGTTTTGACTGTTTCTAGACTAGCAACTGATAGTTGCTGAATATTGCTGTTGCTTAGTAGTGAAGTAATTTTGAAATGCAGGGTCTTTGGCTTACTGTACTTGTGCAAAGTAAATTTTATATGCATGTTATTTCAGCCAGTCATTCTTCTGAAGAATGTATAAATATGAGCTTTATTCTTCAAATAAATATCCTGGGCCTGAAACTCTAGCTGATAGCTCATGTGGACACCAACTTGAAAATTAATTAAAAGGGAAATTTATTTGTATGATGTTGAATAAAATTTTCTTTGCTCAAAAGAAAGCATTTAACTTAAAAATGTTCTAACTCAATACAAAACGAAAGACAATTTAAAATTAAAAATAGCATGAAAAAGTTAAAAAAACCCTGAAATTCTATTTTGAAAAACATAGAAGAAAACGTTTCTTGAATTATGTTTTTGAGGTGCTTTTTGTCAAGCTTGATGCAAATTTATGAATAGCTTAAATGGATACAAATATATTTTCCTATTGCCACTCATCTGAAAATTTTTAATTAAACTCAAACCAAAGCTTCCTTCCATAACAGGAAAAACAAGTAAAAATGCATCAGATATATCAGTTATATGATTCCAAGTTGGAAGTTAAAAAAAACAACTGGAAATGTCACCTCACCCACCCTCTCCAGCCCAGCCAGTAACAACAACACAACCTGAACAGAAAAACGACCACTTTCTTGAGCTTCAAGATGAAATTATGAATTCTTAAATACTTTTTAAGAATCCCTTGCTAGTCACACCACTGAAACAAACTACTGAGTGTAATTATAAGTAGCTTGCAACATCATCAACTAAGCTAGAAAATGTTCTCACAGATGAGAATGGAGACTTTCCAGTGTATTCTTTGAAACATCTGTCACTTTTTTTTTTCTGAGAATTTACTTTAAAAAAGTGAAATGTTATTTTTCACTGTTCCCTCGCCTTTTCCATCTCAATAGCTGTATATTGAAGAAAGTAATGTAGTGTGAAGGTGGTCTCTGTTATGGCCTTTAGTTTAAACTATTGTTACAAATTGTCAGCTTGTAGTTGTGCTAAACAAGAAGGTAGTATCAAATGAAACTGTTGTTTGTTTGGTGGTGTGTTTTTGTAGTGTGTTTTTGTTCTTTTGTTGTTAGTTGTGTTGTTTTTTATTATGTGGATTTGCAGAATACCTGTAAATGCAAAAAAAAGTCTGATGCCATGCATTTAGGTGCCCTGTTTCCTGCACCCAGGCTGTGTGACTACTCAGACCTTTTTTCTATAAATTCAGTGTGCTGTGTAGGCTGTGAGGAGAGGAAAAAAAAATAAGAATAATAGATAAAAATACAATCTGAAACTTGCATAATAAGCCATAGTAATTTAGAAAAATTATCTAATTTCCACCCTTAACATGGGCAAAATCCTTTTTGATTTTGACTTGTGTTGCAAAAGATGTGAACTTCTTGAACAGAAAAAGGCCTCTGGGCTCAGATATAGTACAGATATTCTATGACAAGTTACTGTGTTTTGAAAAATGTTAAAGTGTAAAAAACCAGTAAGATAAAACAGGAATGCTATTATTCAGTGTGGGATTGATTATTTCTAGAATGTTTTACTTTGTCACATCTATTGATCTATCTGTCAACAGTTTAGGTTTACATATTTGAGTACTGTGAAGTTGTTGGTGCTTTTCTGTGTAACTCAATAGAATTATTTTTTTCTGTTTAAGGTACTTTTTGTTGAATTCAGTTCTTTCTGTTGAATATCCTTTGCTCACATCTGACCTTTATTTATGTTGATTTTGCTTCATTTTTTTTTCATTTACCATGCTGTTCAGTTTTTGGATGCCAGGAGAGCAAAGGTTTGTCCAATATTTACAGTCCATTTATTTTTCAAAATTCATTAATGCTTATTGTGTTTCTTTGCTGGTCAGAGATGCAGTAATCCTGTTTACTAAACATGTTCATAGCTTTAGTTGCCAAAATAAAAAAAAAACCAAACCAAAACAGTCCCAACTCAGCCCTTCCCAAAGCCCCCTTCAATTATAGTTAGAGCCTTGATTGACTTTATAAACAACAGTACTGTTAAGCACCATGAGGGGCAGAATTACCTTTAGTCTATGAAGTAATTTAGAAAACATGGAATACTGAGTCTTTCAGCTTTACAGGTACATATTGACTGTACTGATGGATGTGTGACTGCCTCGTGTTTGGGTTTGTTGGTTTGTCTTTCTTTGCTATTTAATTTATCTGTAGCTGACACTATTTTGTATGTGTGGTTGTCTTTTTTTTTTTTTTTCCAGAAGCACTTGAAAGATGTCATCACAAATATGGTCACATGCATTTCCTATTTTATAAAGGTCATTAGATATTGATTATCATTGATTCTAATGAATTTTGGTAACAGCATAACATCAAAGACTAATCCAACATGCAGATCCTAAATTGGCTTTTTTTCCCCCCTTTTCTTCTGTATTGCAGCATCTGCAAATGACAATCCAGGCGCTTCAAGATGAGCTTAGAACCCAGAGAGACCTAAACCATCTTCTCCAGCAAGAAAGTGGAAACCGAGGGGCTGAGCATTTTACCATTGAGCTCACAGAGGAGAATTTCCGAAGACTTCAAGCAGAACATGATAGACAAGCTAAAGAGCTCTTCCTGTTGAGAAAAACACTAGAAGAAATGGAGCTCAGGATTGAAACACAAAAGCAAACACTAAATGCCAGAGATGAATCAATAAAAAAGCTTCTGGAAATGTTGCAAAGTAAAGGTTTGCCATCTAAAGGAATGGAAGATGAAAATGAAAGAACTCGAAGGATGGCTGAAGCTGAATCTCAGGTTAATCATTTAGAAGTTATTTTAGATCAGAAGGAGAAGGAAAACATGCATCTTAGAGAGGTAATGAAAAACTCATTTATTTATTTTAAAGGTATTGTCAAAGTATTTGCTTCAGTTTTAGAAATGTTCTTTAGAGTGTTTAAGTGTTGCTGCTCTCATCTTTTCATTAAAAAGATACCAAGCATTTGTTTTACACCTCTAGTAAATACACTACAGGACTACATGAAATTTGAAAGCAAGTGTGAGAAATTATGGAAGAAAATAAATCGTATTTGGGCCTTATTGTTTCTGACATTGTTGCTTTCCATAGTTTCTTTGTATTTTGACAAGTCAGTGTTTGGAAAATGAAGACTAGAACTACTGAAGAGGAAAGTAACACCTGCTGTGATAAACTAAACAGTTATGAGTGCATGCTACTTTTGTATTTCATTTGATATCCCTTGTGTTTGAAATCAGTGTTTTTAAAATGTTTTGCCTTCAATATAACAAAGGCTTCTTCTGCCTATGTGCATTTCTCATGTATTCGCATGTGTAAAATCCCAACTTTTTAGGTAGATATACTACATAATGTTGCCACATGAAAACACTGCGGTGATGGTCTCATTATTCTTTTAGAGGTCCTTAATTTGATCCCAAGCATCACCTGCACCAGTTGTCCACATCACTTGTGAATCCATTTTTGGGACTTTGATTTTTACAATAATTCAAGCCTTTGAGTGAAGGCTTTTCTGTCTCCAGCTCTCCCTGTTGCACATGGTATTTATGGATTTTGGGTTTTTTTTAAATTTATTTTTCTGCAGGTTTGAACTTTGTTGTGGGGAGCTTGGAAGTATGATGTGTAGGGTTATGAACCCCTTAGAATCTAATGTTTAGTAGATGCCTGCTTGTTTTTTCAGGATTTTGGATTTGATCAAGTGGGCTCTTAGAAAATCCTCTGATGTTCAAATTTTGTCTTTTGCTCATTTTTTTGGGGTTAGTTGTTTGTATGCTTTGGAGGAATATCAGATATTCTGTATGGTTTTCTCTATTTGTTAGAAGTCAAGGTGGATCAACTTTTGATCTTCATGTGTCACTTGGTAAGTCCTTGATACTCTGCAGTGCTTGTTTGAGTTACTGTCACTACATGTAGTCTTCATTGTGCATGAGACAGTTTGCTAACATGATAAAACAGGAATTAAAAGGTAGCTGAATTTTATTGATATTGTCCAAGACAAAATGATTTACCATTTGCTTTAATAAGGGAATAATGTACGGAAAGTCATCTTTGCAAACACACATAAGAAAAGAATATCCTTGGGCCTGGCAGTTTCCCTGTAAGTATGTTAATGCTTGAAAATCTGTTTTGAAACCATAATGTCAAATCATTGCATTCTAAACTTTCAAAATTAAATATCATAAATATCATAAAGATCACTAAATACACATTTCTGTCAAAAAACACAAGTGTCTTGCCTTAAAATTCTTAAACTGGTTATCATGTGTCTCTTCTAGAATTTTAAAGAAACTTTTTTTTTCTTTATAACTTTGGGAGAATTGTAGGTAATACCAGGATTTTATCATGTGGAAATCTAGCACAGATGTTTGGTATTACTTTTTTTAAACATAGTGACCACACATTATTTACCCTAAGTACCATTAAGTATTTTTTTATTATTGCTATTAAAAACTTGCCTTAGGCAAAGTCCCACTGAATCTCTAGTAAAGTCAAATGTTAAAATTCCAGCAAGTATTTTATTATATATACACGTATATTACATATGCCCTTTCTATATCATACAATTTCACTAAAACAGAATCTGAGATCATATAGGATTTTATATACATATCTTAACTCCTATCTTGCATGTATTCTTGGAATATTGTTGCACATGGTTTAAAGCTACAGCTTTTTTATATTTAGTGGAAAGAAGAACAACACAGCTTTATTATTATTTAATGTATACTTTTAAACTTTCAAGGATATTTTTAAAAAAACTTGCTCTATCTTTGAACTCAGCTTGGTCAAATAATGGAGGCTGCTGACAGGATTTGAACTGCCATCATGAATTAGTTATTGCATGTTTTTAAAGTTATTAATGGAGCAAAGTTCCTTCTTACACTGAGTAGAACAGATGCCTTGCAGAATTTTGGTGTTTACTGTAAATGTCTTACACTGGAGCCAGTAGTAATTTACTAAGGAAATGCTTTGTCGACACTAAACGTTTCTTCCCTGAAGTTAGTTATATATATTAACAACCATTCTAGTCTGAACCTTTATTAGGTTCATTAGTCCCTCCTTGCTTCTGTTTCTCCTGGCTCAGCTCAAATTAATCTAATCAGTTGCTATTAAGACTACTACTTTCTATCAAAATATCAATAGTAATATGTGTGTTTAAGGTGACCTCTTTAGTATACAGAAGCACTTTGCAATGTTGGCAGTCACTCCAGACACGTGAATGTAGACAGAACCTGATTATACTCTAGAGAATAGTTATTACTTCCAATTTAATCTATTCAGTTTCTGTTATGCCCTGTCATGTTCTTGCCAGGATGCTTGGTTGCAATGGTTTTTATAAGTCCACTTGGAAGATTAGAAAGCTTTATTGATTTAGAAATCAGTTCCTTTAAAGACAGGACTGCTCTCCATGACAACATTACCAGTAGTTTGGAATCTAGAATATGAGAAAGCTGTCAGTTTTAAACTGGTATGTAACAACTTCAGAAATTATTTTGGGAAGGGAGGAAAATAAGAGATTAATGAATAAGCTGTGTTTTCTATGCCTTTAAATAGGCATAGAAGTGGAGGTGATAAGTGTTGATCCTCCCAGCATTTCTGGAAAGTGCATCCATTAGAAGGTAACTTGGGAACTGTCTTGAATTGCTGTAAAAATTCTATTGTCCCCAGATGTAGAAATACTGTCTTTATAGAGCTGCTTGTTCAATTCACACATTTACAACTTTCAGGCTATGTGTAAACATTTTAAAGACTAGCCAATAAACAGAGAAAAATTATCAATTTTGGTTTCTATCATAGACTTTATTTCCTTCCCTCATCTCTCTAGTATCTTTTAAAGTTTCTGTTCTGTAAAAATGCTGCTGCTCATTTCTGTGGCAATAACTTCATTACTCTATAATGTAATTAATTTTCTCTACCTTCATCTTCTTGTTAATATGAATGACAATAGCACTGTGTTTCAAACCAGACAGACCTAGAGAGTTTATCAGAGAATCAGTTCTGCCTAGTGCAAAGCAGGCAGTATTTTGAAAATTCAGGGGGATCATTTCAATTCTAAGTGTGGGCAAGAGTGTACATCCTTAACATTTAGTAACTTCTGGTTGTATCACAAGCTCATCAAATCTCTTGAGGGGAAGATCTAATATTCTGATAGGCCACTGTTTTCTATTTTACTCCTGTTGCTTACTGTCTCTTATGTAAAATTATTCTGGTTGCTCTTCAGATTGTTTTCTTCTCCCTGAAACATACAACTTCAAACACTGAACAAACCCACCAAGGCTTTTTAGAGCCATTTGTGTATAACGAATATATTTAGAATAGTTACTAGTTTTGTATATTCACATCACTGTTGCTTATAAGATTAAGGACAGTGTTAATTAGAGGCAGTTATATGAACTCAGGGGACTACTTTTGAAGGTCTATAGAGTTTGGATCCTTGCCTGTTGCTTCCACTTTCATGCAAAAGAGTTGAGTAAAATTCCTGCTCATGTTTTAATAACACTTCATAGTTCTTGCTGAAGGAAATGAATAGAAATGATACGTGATCCAGAGAGGTGTGAATCAGAAATGCTTCCCTAAGTACTGTAAGAGAAGTGCATGTGCAATACTCTGTTATAGATTGAAACAATTTATCAGATTTTTTTGAGTGGTGAAAAACGCTGTAGTGTTTCCTACTCAGGAGGTGTAAGTGACATATCTAGTATATTCTTTATTGCTCTGCTTTTTGTACAGTGTATTTTAATTTATTTCTTTAAATACACCTTTCATATTCTTTCCTAGACACTGGCAACCTGATTTCTAATTCACTTCAAGCAAGCATTTAATGTGAAAGTTTTACAAATGGAGTTAGTAAAGGGACATCATACTAAAGGGAATGTGCTTCACACATTTTTCTCTTTAAAATCTGCATTTCTGAAATGTATTATTTTCATCAGTTAATATGTAACTTAACAGATATATATTTCTTTTTTTCACACTGCTTTAATTGGCTTTGGCTCTTGACATCTTTTATTTCTCTGAATATATTTACAAAAAAGTGGCTCTTAGGTTTTAGATTTATAACAATGAGTTGAAGCTAAATGCTATGGTTTTTTTCTCACTATTTAACTGAATAAATTAATTTACTCATTAATTAAACTAAATAAATGTTTGGAAGAAATATTCTCTTAACCATGTGATCTTTAGAAGGAGACGTGATGTCTTTTCAGCAGTTTCTGCAGTGAGTTAATTATTTTTCTACTTTTTCATTATAATCAGAAATTTTACAAGTTTTATTAACTAAAACTGTGGTTTTCAGATGCTGAATACAAAATGGCATATTGTCTACTAGCTATCTGAAAATATTAGGGGGGGAAAAAGATGTTGCTAACGTGTGATCTTATTTGCCACAAATTTTTGTGGCTACAGATAATGTTCAGATGGTATTTTAAGATTGAGTTCTGGTTTCTCCGAGTGAAATTAATTAATTGCAACTGTGTATATAAGCCATCAGAATCAGTCTGTTCTGCAGTATTGCATTTGACAAGAAACAATTGTTTGGTAATGAAGTAATACATTTTCTGTGGTAGTTATATGCAGAATAAGTCAAACTGTGGTTCCAGTGGTTTTGTTTATGGCTGTCTTTAAAGTGTAGCACTTGATGCTTCTTCACCAGTTCAAGATAGCCCACTCACAGGGGAGCTGAAGTGCCATACTTCAAAATAGAATAATGTTTATGCCAACAAAAAAGAAAAGATAACTTTGTTTCTGCCATGCTTGCAAAGTGTGATTGAGTGTTGTAAGTTCATAGATCTTGCTAATGGAGAACTTTTAGTAAATTTTGTTGTTTTAAATGAAAAAATAATCG